GTATCAAATACTGTAAATGGCTTACTGAAATCTCAGCTATTACTATGGATTTGTTTAAGTCTCCTTGCAAGTCAGCTATGATTCATGATTTTGATTCATGTATTTTGAATCTCTTATTAGGTGTGTATAAACAATTATGATTATTAAATTCACATGATGAATCGGCCTTTTTATCATTATGAAATCATCTTTATTTCTGGCAAAATTTTTCCTCTAAATATACACATATATGGTAAAATAGCCATTCTAGGCATTCTGTTAATTAACATTAGTATGGTATATTTTACCCTTTTACTTTTATCTACTTATGTCTTTATATTTAATGCATTTAATATAATTACTTTTTCTTTGTATCCAATCTGATATTCTCTGTCTTTTGTGTATTTAAGGTACTTACACTTAATGTAGTTATTCATATATTTAGGCTTAAAGTCTATCATTTTGCTTTTTGTTTTTTATTTGTCTCACCTGTTCTTTGTTCCCCTTCTTCCCTGTACTGCCTTCTTTTGAGTTAGCTGGGTATTATTTAGATTCGACTTTATCTCTTTTATTGGTTTATTAGCTATAGCTCTTTACTTTCTTATTTTAGAATGTACTTGTATTAGTTTTCTACCACCACACAACAAATTATCACAACTTAGCATCTTAAAACAACACACATGTTATATCAGTTTCCATAGGTCAAGATTTCACGCAGTTTCCATGGGACAGAATTTTGCATTCAACTCAGGAACTTACAAGGTTACAATCCAGCTATTAACTGGGGAGTATCCTTTCCTGGAAATTCAATTAGGGGAGAATCTGCTTCCAGGCTTGTTCAGATTTTTTGCAGAATCCAACCTCTTAAAGTTGTTTGACTGAGGGCCTCAACTTCTTACTAGCAATAAGCTAAAATATATTCCCAGGTCCTGGAGGCCACCCTCAGTTCCTTGCCACATGATCCTCGCCTCAGGCAGTTTATAACATGCCTGTTTGTTTTTTTACAGCCAGCAGGAGAATCTCTCTCTTCAGTTTGCTATGGAGTATTATATAACTAAACGGTATCAGGAGTGACATACCATCACCTTTTCCTAATAAGCAGCCTAATTAACACAATGATACCCTATCACCATTCTATCATTTAAAAACAAGTGCCAGGATCCAACTGCACTCAAAAAGAAAAGATTATACAACGAAGTGGCCACCACGGGGTGTAAAAGCACCACTGCTTTGAGACTATTGTATACAGCTTTGATTTATCATAGTCTACTTCCATCTGATATAGAATTTTACATAAAGATGTGTAATTTACTTCCTTCTCCCCTGCACTTTTTGCTATATTTCACTTTCACTTATGTTATAAAACTTACATCACATTATTGCTATTTTTGTTAATAGTTTCTTTATTATCTTTAAAAAAAGATTTAAGTATTAAGAAAGACATACGTTTTTACTCATGTAGTTACCATTCCTAGTGCTTTTCATTCCTTTGTACACATTTAGATTTCAATCTAATATCACTTTTTTCTCCTGATTAATAGACTTCTTTCACATTTCTTGTAGCACAAATTGACTAATGATAAATTCCTTCAGTTTAGGTATGCCTAAAAACGTCTTCATTTAATTATTATTTTTGAAAGGTATGTTTCCTATATGTAGAAATCAAGAGTGACTTTTACTCTAACAATACTTTAAAGATGTTGTTAACACTGTCATGTTCCTTGCAGTTTCCAGTAAGAAACTTACTGTAAGTCACAATACTTTCGTTTCTTCATATATAACACGTTCCCCCCACCCACCAAGCTGCTTTTAGCAATAGTTTTGAGCTATGCAATTAAGTTTATTGTGCTTGGGGTTTGCTGAGCTCCTTGGATTTGTGAATTTATAGTTTTCATCAAGTTTCAACTTCTGTGTTCATTATTACTTAGTTTTTTTCTTGGATACATACCTAGGAGTGGTTCATGTGGTCACTCTGTTTAACATTTTGAGGAACTACCAAACTTTGTTTTTCAAAAGCAGATGCACCATTTTACATTCCTACCAGCAACATGAGCAGTCCACTTTTTCCACCTCCTTCTGTCTTTTTGATTATAGCTCTGCTTATCTTTTTGAACAAAACTGGTTCAATATCCTTGTCTGTTGATTATAACATTTATTTCTATTCTGATCAGTGATTGATTTTTCTCCTAAATATGGGTATTCTTTTCCACTTCTTTTTGCCAAGTTTGGTCGTTTCCAATCGGATGCCAGACATTGCTAACTACACCTCACTGGTTGCTGGATATTTTTGTATTTCTATAAATATTATTGAACTTTGGTCTATCATATACTTGGGTTTTGTTAAACATTTGATCCATTTGGGCCTTGCCTTTAAGATTTGTTAGATGGCACTAGGGCTAATGCCCTACTAAGGCAGAATCTGTGCACTCAAACCAAGGCCCCACGGATTATGAAGTTTTCCAGTGTGACTGGTGAAAAGAGTTACTATTTCTGACCCTAAGAGACGTCTGGGAATCCTTAAAACCCTTTCGGGGTAGTTTCCTCAGACACATGACGCTCAGTACCCAGCAGAATACCGGAGAAAACTCTGCAGAACTCTGAGTTCTCTCTCTGAGCAACCTTCTCCTTTCTCCTACACTCTCTAGGGAACGTTACCTGCCTTGGTCTCCCCCAGAACTCCAGCTCCGTCCTGTCAACGCAGGTAATCCTCTGGACTCTGCTTAGGTTTTCTCTCCCTGCACCGCATCCTGGAAAACCGTTTAAAGGCAGTATGCTTTTTGAGCTATCATTTGTTCTCTGGGTCTCTAAGATCACTGTTACTCGTTACTGACGTCAAGCAACTTGAAAGAAAGACCCAGTGTTCTCCTACAGCAGCAGAATTTTTTTTTTTTAAGGTAATGCCGAGAGTTGCCCCGAAAAGTCAAACAGCACAACGCTCCTCCTCTTTCGCTTAGTCTGAGGAGAACTGGGACGCGCGCCGCGGAGCGAAACTCAAGCCACACCTCCAGCCTGCAGCACGGCCCAAGGGCTACTGCGCAGGCGTAGATCTTCTGCGCTCCCGCCGCGCTCAGCAGCCACTGCGCCTGCGCCAAACAGCTGCGCGCCAACGAGCGAATCTGCGCCTACCAATGAGAGCTTACGATGGTCCTTTATTCCCGCCTACTGACCGGATATCCAATCGCTTGCTTCGGCGCGCAGGCTGTGGTGCATCCAAAGTGGACAGAAAGTAGAACTGAAGCGCGGCCGGGGAAAGATGGAGGCGGCGGAGACTGAGGCGGAGACTGCAGCCCTAGAGTAAGTCTCCGCCGCCAGGTGACAGCCGGGGACGAGATAGGGGCGGACCTTGCGCCCCCCCCCCCACGTAAATTCCTTGATACCCATCTATTCCTTACAGCTGTTGGGGTACGACTCTGCCGTGATGTCCCAACACACTCTCTCAGTGGGTCATTTCATCCTCATTCCTGCCTCCTAAAGGACCGCTCCAGCCCCTAACAAGGAAGATCTCTGGAGAGCCTAGACCGAGACATCCAGTGCCCTGTCCTGAGCCCCTCCTTAAGTATTCTGAGACCCCGCCCGGCCCAAGGCTTGTGTCCTCTTCGTGGAGGGCTCCTCCATTCTCTGTATATCTCCCTGACTGCTTTTGGAAACTTAGACGGTTTCTCTTCAGTGAAACATTCCCTATTTAAAATCACAGCTCCGTCCCAACATTCCTTACTCCCCTTGCTTTGCCTGTTTTCCTCAGGGCACTTATCTCCGTATGTCCTCCGTGCACTCACCATTCCTGCGCCTAGATGGCCCCCCCCCCTTGCTTTGCCTGTTTTCCTCAGGGCACTTATCTCCGTATGTCCTTCGTACACTCACCATTCCTGGGCCTAGATGGCCCTTCAAGCCTGTTTGCAGATACTAGTCAGGGCAAGATTCAGCATTAATATAAATATTCACATATGTGCATGTGCACACAAGTTCTCTAGAACTAGCACCCCAGGGGCCTTCAGTTTTCCCTGTTTTCTTGCCCCTTCAGGGCCCTGGCCAAGGTGGCAGACATCCTGGAGCCTATTGGTCTGCAGGAGGAGACAGAACTGCCTGCTCAGATCCTGGCTGAGTTTGTGATGGTATGTGCAAGATAGAAGCCAGCCTTTCAGAAACCAGGGACTGCTCCTGTTTCCTCCTATTGCAATACCGGGCAGCAATGATAGTGCAAGGAGGTAAGAATGTTCCCTGCCTCTACCCTCTGTCTAAACAGGACTCCCGGAAGAAAGACAAGCTCCTCTGCAGCCAGCTTCAAGTAGTAGACTTCCTGCAGAACTTCTTGGTTCAGAAGAACACTGCCCAGGGCCTGGACCCCTTGGCTTCTGAAGACACGAGCCGTGAGTAGGCAGGGGCTGCCCTGAGTGAAGAAGAAAGGGGAACATCAGTCAGGTCAGCTATTTGGCTGATGGGAAGACTGAGGCTCCAATGTTGCAGGCAGATAGGCCAGGCTAACTTATACCCTCATTCTATGTGGCTCTTCTCAGGGCAGAAGGCAATTGAAGCCAAAGAGCGATGGAAAGAGCTGAAGGCTACCTACCAAGAGCACGTGGAAGCCATCACAAGTGCCCTAACCCAGGCACTGCCCAAGGTGGAGGAGGTCCGAAGGAAGCAGGCACAGCTCCAGGAGGCCCTTCAACAACTCCAGGCCAAGGTGAACCCAGGATAGGGGGAGGGAAAGGCAGACAGAGAGGAGGAGGAAAAGGGTGAGCATGCTGGGTTGGACCCACTGGCTGTCTTTTAAAATCCAGCCATAAAAATACACTCTTCTCTTTGTTCCCATCCTTTGCTTACCTGCAGAAGCAAATGACCATGGAAAAACTCAGAATAGCCCAGAAGAAGTGGCAGCTGCAACAGGTAGGTCCATTCCCCTAGGAAAATATCTTTTTCCACCACTATGCCATTCCAAGGGCCAAGTCCTCTGCCTGGAAAACCTTCATCCTGTTTCCTCCTGTGAGGCATTATAGTATGGGTGCCAACACAGACTTGAATCTCAGCATCACCACTTAACCACTGGATGATCTTGGGCAGTCATCTAACTTTCTGTGCTTCTGTTTCTTCATCTGTGAAATGGAGGAAATAGTAGCATCTACCGTATAGAGTTGTTATGATGATTAAGTAATTAGTACAGGAAGTGCTTAAAATAGTGCCTGGCACATAACAGACTAAGTAAGTATTATCATCATCTTTATGCCTCTTCCCTCCAGAATGTCTTGTGCTGAAATAATTCATTCAGACCCTTTTCTCTAGGCCCCTTGTCCTGCCTAAAGTGAGTAAGGCCCCTCTTTCCATCTGAGGCTCTGAACCCCCAGCTAGGTCTAAGCTGGAGGAGTTGGGGGAATGACTCTAAGACCTCAGCATCTGAGGAACCATGTCTACATTTCCATTCCTGGTAGGAGAAGTGTCTGCAGCATCTGGCAGAGGTTTCTGCAGAGGTGAGGGAGCGTCAGAAAGGAACTAAGCAGGAGCTTGATCGACTGTATCAGGAACTTGGAACTCTTAAACAGCAGGCAGGACAAGAGCAGGACAAGCTGCAGAGGTGAGGCTGGGAGCATGGGCTGTAGACCAGGGGTGGTCCAGCTGAGGTTCCCTTTCTTCACACCCACCTCCTCCTTCCAGGCACCAGACCTTCCTCCAGCTGCTATACACCCTACAGGGTAAGCTGCTGTTCCCCGGGGCTGAGGCAGAGATACCACAAGAGCTGGATCTTCCTAAGGATAAGCCCCAGCAGCTGACCCAGCCCCAGAAGCAGAACACTCGGGACACCATGGGGAGAGACAGAGATGTGTCATCCAAGGTGAATGAGAGATGGAACAGATGGGCAGGGAGCCAGAGAGAAAAGCTGAGATATAGGCCTTACCCACTGTCCATACTGTGTCTCTCCAAGGCTGACGGCCCACAGCCTGCTGGAGGTGCGAGCTTGCCATGGCTTCCTGGGGAACAACAACATGGGGAAGGATCTTAGAACAGATCAGACTCCAGCTCAGACTATGGTGTCCTTGGACTGCAGGTATGGCAGGAGGGAGGGCCTCTGTTGTACCTGTCTCTGCTTCTGAGCTCCACTGTTTATGGAGGGGATGAGATGTGGGAAGGAGCAAGGAGTTTATCTTATGGTTGAAGTTTAGTACATTATCCCCTTGCCCATCCTACCCTGGGCTAATGTGTCTTCCTCTTTCCCAGCCGTCAGGCCCCACCCACATTGCAGGATGGACTTAAATTCCTTGAGGGCAGTCTGATTTTTGATTACATTTCAGATTGGAGCAGACTCTGGATTCTGTTGATTAAAAGCCCTAGAACTCTCTCAGCTGCCTGTTTGTTGATTAAAAGCCCTAGAACTCTCTCAGCTGCCTGTTTGTCTGTTTACCTTCATAGGTTGATGAGAAGAGTCGCACTCAAAGGCCAGCAACACCATAGGCACTGGGACTGGTGTGAATACAGAGGGTGTAGGGGGGAGGAGGCCCTGGCCTGGGGCCTAAGGGGTTGCTTGCCCAAATCGATATGACACAAACATGCTGAGCTTAATTTAAGGAGAAGGTGAATGCTTTATGCAGGTGGTTAGATATGGGAAAATAATTTTAATTACTGATCCAAATGTTTATTTGCCAGGTGCCTGTTTTGTGCCAGGTGCCTTGCCGTGAATGGGAGCTACAGCAGGGGGTTTATCTGACCAGTCCCTGGCCATGTGGAACATAATGAAAATGAACAAGAGAAATGGTCAATAGGATGATTTCAGAGTGTGTTAAAATAGGGTAGCAATCTAAAACAGAATAAGAAGATACAGAGCAATAGTGAGAGAATATAGAGACCCCATCTGTCTGTATTGCCTTGTGTCTATATGAGTTAGTATTTCTAATTGTCCTGTGTCTATGGGAGTTAGTATTTCTATTTGAGTTAGTATTTCTATTTGAGTTAGTATTTCTATTTGAGTTAGTATTTCTTCTTGTGTTTGTGTCTGTTGCTTTCAGTCTCCATTCCCCTGAGTGTCTGTTGCTGGGTGTGTGGACAGTGGTGGGGCACTGTTTGAGAAAGAGATTGCATCCCTAATTGGGAGTGTGGGAACTGCTGTGTAAGAGAAAAAGAGAGATCAGTGACAGTTCTCAGAGAGTGGAAAACTCCTTTTCCTTATAAGAAAATGACCTTCCTGTGCGAGAAGGACCTCAATATCTCCATGAGAAGGACACTGGAACCTTTTGTTATTGGTCAAGAGAGTTTCAAGAGACAGTGTTCCCTGTTCTGCCTCAGACTGGGATGCCTTCTCTCAGGTGAAGATTGAGATCCTTGTACACTCTGATGGTTTGCTCTGCTTTTCTGAGTTTTCTCTAGTTTTCTCTCAAATTGTCCTTTTAAATGTGTTGGCCCCATTTTTAAGATATGAAATAGGATAGGTATCAGAAGTCTTTGAGGTCCTGCATCATTATTGAATGAGGGGCTCAGAGAGGATTGAGTTTATATTCTCCACAAGGGACATACAAATACTTAGAGAGGCTTCCTCAATCTGCCCATCGTCCTCCCACATGGTCCCTTCTGTAGCCTTCTAGCAACCCACATGCGCAGTCCCCCATTTTTCCTTCCCTTATCCCTACAGTCTGTTTTGTTTGTTTTTTTCTAGTCTCATATATCCCAAAATGCCTGCAACAGAAAGGAGAGCAAGAATATATATACATATATCTGTCCCAGAAAATAAGTGTCCATTAAGGGAGACTGGGGTATGGGTTGGGATGGTATGGAGTTTCCCTATCTTTGCACACATAGTGGCTTATGGGAAGGAAGAGAAGATACTTATATGGAGCTAGGGGTGAATGATAATATCCTGAGATACTCTAAGCCAGGGGACAGGAGAAAGAGATTGGGCAAACGTGCAGTAATCAAAAGCAGAGGTCTGCAAAACTGCTGGGAACCAAATTTTTTTCAAGGAGTATGGAATGCATCAGTCCACACTGAGGCCAAAGAGTAGGGGAGGCTTGAGTATCTGTTATGTTTAAATCCCCTGAATTGTCCATGTGGCTGGAGCCTCACATTGGCCACAATTGTCTTGAATTACAAGCTTAGGATTTGGAACTTGAAACTTGCTTTTAAATAGAAGCTGGACTTCAGCTTCCAGCTGTTCTTGGCTCTCTCTTAGGCTCCCCTAAAAGCTATACCAGTTCATTGTTAGTTGTGCAAGGTAGATATGTGCAAGAAGGGAAACTACTCCTGGGAACTTGTGATCTCTTGCACAAAAACCTGGGTTATGATTCTACAGAGACTGCTGAAAAGGCCCTGCTGCCAGCCAGAGATGGTTTTTTTTCTTCCTTTTTTCTATTCAAAGGAGGGGCACAAACCAGTGAAGAGTGGAGGGTGGGAGTGGGGAGGGGACTGGGGACTTGGCAGTGATTCAGCACAATCAACACTCTATTAGTCTGTCTTGACTAGAAGTCTGTTTGATAACCTAAAGTGAAGATTAAGCTTACTTTGTGAAACGAATAGGAAAATTTTCTTTCTGTTCTCTGTAAGAATAGTATTTTCCTTTTTAAAAATACTTTCTTTTATGGTAAACATTTTATTTATTTTCTTTTAGTTTCAGTTTCATATTTTCTTGGTATTGTCAACTTTTTCTAGTAATTTTTCATACCCAGTTTTTAAGTTTATTGGTATAAAGTTGTCATCTTTTTTACCTAAATCTGCTGCCTGTTTTAGGATGACCTAATGTTGTGTTCCTGATACTTTTTTTGTGCTTCACCAAATTTTTTCTTTGATCCATCCTTTCAGATTTTCGTTCATTTTCAAATATTCAAGTATTTAAAAATTGGCTTTTGTGATCTGCCATGTATGTTTGTTCTGATTCATTAGTTAGTAATCATTTCTGGATCATTTTCTACCTTATGTTTTTAGGTGGAGAATATGTTTTGTTTTGGTCTGGTCTTTTGGTAAACTATTTTTATCAGATAATAAACTTGTATATTTGCATCTTTGTTTTCGCAAATAAATGTTTAAGGCTATAAATTTCTTCTGATTTTCTGTTATTCATTTCTCAGTCATTTGATTCATAGAATTTTTTATTAAAATTATTTCTGTGATTCATGAGTTTCTTAGAAAAATAAATTTGAAATTTTTTACTCTATGTTTGTGAGAAGATAACCTTTCTGTTTATTCTAGTTTGGTCAGAAAATGTCATCAATGTAATAAAAAACTTTGAAATTTGGTGAGGGAAACAGCTGTAACCTTGAATGAGTTGTTTTATTCCTTTTTTTTTTTTGTAAACTTTTTCATATGGATTTTAAAAGAATGTCTGTTTTAGAATTGTCATGTGTAATGTTTTCTGTATGTTTATTGTATTATGCTTGTTATATTTTTTTTACTTTATATCTTGTATATACTTAATTTTTTTGTTTCCTGAGTATCTTTTGAGAGAGGTGTGTTCAAGTCTCCATATGATAGTGGATTTGTTTATTTTGTTAACTTCTGGTTTATTTCAGCAAAGCTAATCTCTCTCATTCTATCTTTACAATGTTTAAATTTATAAAACTAAGTTCACTTCAAATATTCTACTCCATCATGAAAAGAAACTGTCTTACCATTTTAGAATCTTTCTGTACTTAACACATCCATTCCTGTCTTCTAGAATTATGTAACTTCTTATATTGCAATTCTTATGTCTCCTCTTTGGGCCAAATAAGTGTATATTTTGAAATACAAACAGTGTGAAATTAAATAACCTAATTTAATTATTATTTCCAGCCTAGTGTTTAAATGACCCTTTTGACACTGTGAACATTGGGCTCTGAGGAATTTAGTGTTTGAGTTTTGATACACTTTGCTCTTGAAATCCTCAATAACCTAGGCATTAAGTCTGAGAACTGGAGTCTCAGAAATCAACATATTTTATGTTTGTTTTGAAGCCTTTTAAACTTGTTTTGGGAGGGTGTAAATTCCTCTGTGTTGTTAAATTGAATTGTATAACTGTTGAAATAGTTATTAAAAAACTGATTAATCTTCATGGAGCTCTGCATTATACAAAAATTAGATTTTAGATGTCATATTTAAATGCATTTCTAAATTTTCAGTTGTCAGATGGACTTTAGCAAGTACACCTATGCAAGATATGCATAATTCATTTCATCATGCATTTTATAGTGATTATACCCATGTGAAAGTGTTGATACTTATTTAAATGAGTTGATTACTGCATACCTAAAATCATGTTTGAGGATAGAAAAAAGAAGGGGAAAATCTAGACATGCTTTCAGAAGGTGACAGAATTATTGGAAATAAGAGATTGTCACAAGAAAACATTTTAAAAGGAATAGACCATAAAATACATATGTATAACCTAGTACACAAATATTTGTTTTTATGTACTATAAAAAATCATAGGATGAACAAACATGAGTTGGAGTAATCAAAATGGGGTTTATTTTTATGGAAGAATGAATGAGTTTGTTTAAAATATAGAGTCTCCATGTTATGAAATTGTATTGTAAAACCTTTGGGCCTAATCTTAACCAATCGTAAACAGTAAGTGTGACAATTTTATTAATTAAAATACTCGTTTTAAAATTAGTTATATTAAATTTTCATTCTGTATATAACTTAGTAGACAAGAAGTTACACTTTACATGTACCTTAGAGAGAAAATACTTCTCTTTAGGGACAAGCCTGTCCACAGTCTCCAAATATGTGAGGCTCACATTACCCTGGCTAGATAGTCTAGAAATAAAAAAGGAATTTGAAGTAATTTGTTTCTGAAGTTTAGCATTTTCTGTGGTTGTTTCATTTGATTACTCCATGAAGATAATAGACTCTGGGGTTATAACGTGCTGGTTTCTTGTTTGAAAACTCTAGATGATGACTAAAACATCTAGCTTTATTCCAGTGTGCCATTTTCAACATGAGAAAGAAATAAGGGGAAAAAGAAAGAAATGGTAAATTTAGTTGAGGAATTCAGTCATAAAATACTGAACATTTGTGTGTGTGTGTGTGTGCATACATACATACACATACATGCATATATACAGACATACATAAAACTGGCAGGGAATGTAGATTAGCTGGAGGAAGTGAGAGTGACTGCATTATCCAATATATGGATATCAGGCCTTTTTTTTTCAGATATAGATTCTGTCATTAACCATTTGCTCTCTGTAATTCCTCTCTACAAGAACGTATATATCTTTGCATCCACAAATGAACACACTCAAATGCCTTCAAATTTAAAAGTAGTTAGTAAATGTTCATTGGATTATCTTTAGGGAAGACTTCCCTAAGAGCTGCCTCTTGAGTTCAATTTCAAACAAATAAAATTATCCAGAGGCAGATTTCATCATTTATTGAATGTTAGCTTTGTACTGAATATAAAGTTCTGAGAATTAAAAAAAAATGATAAAGACAATCTGAGTTTAAATTTGGAGGCAGAAAAGAAAAATCTGAAAAACTAATGCTAACAAAAACTGTTTGTCATTGTTTAGGACTAAGAATTGAAATGTTTTGGCAGCACCAAGGATAATCATGAGCACTAAGCAGAAGGAACATCATAAGTAAACGCAAGTGGCCAAGTAGCACTTAGAACATAGTATATGTTCATAGATTACAATATTCTGTGTCTTTGAATTTAGTTGCTGGAGCGCTATCATTTTCCCTTTATGATAGCATATTTCTTTGACTTTTCATGGCGTTTGAGGATATGTGTTTCTGCTTTTGCATTTGAAATAGCAGACAGCTTCCTTAATTAGGCTTTTTTTTTTTTTTTTACTTTGGATCTATTAGAAACCTTTTTTATTGCAGAAAGTGGCACAGGTTTGTGGTTTCTCCTATAGGAGCTGGCTCTTGGGGAAGCCCTCTGGAGTGGGCACAAGGAATCAACCACAGAGTTAGGAGGGGTGCGGATTTAGCTCTGGGGTCTTGGGGGTGTCCACAGGGCCAGTAGGGGGATCTTCAAGTGGGGCCCACCCAGACGTTCATGAGTGGATCCTGTGCTGAAGTCTCAAAGCAGACTGCAGGAGACATGGCACTTTGATTTTCTTGTCAGCTTCCTTTCCCTTTCTCTTCCTCTCCCCAGTCACAGAGATCTCTCCTCAGAAATCCAGCTGCTGCTAGAGAGAAATGGGCCCCTCCATCCATAGTCCTCACAACTAATGTTGATATCACTCTTCCAGTAATGAATGAAATGATTCTGGCCTTTGAGATACAGAGATACAGATTTCCTCTATCTCTAGAAACTTAGTTCCCAGCAACTAGAGTGCAATGTAAAGGAACTATCTTTGTTAAATGGCTTTTCAATAAAACAATTTTGTCCGTTAAACATGTAATAATATTTAATTTCAGTTTGGAAACTTAGGTTATAGAGCTGTTTGATGTTGTGTTTTGTTTTTTCTTCCTAGCTATCTTGAGCATTAAATATTTTTTTGAATATATGTGCAGTTACATGTATTCTAAAATGTGAAGTCAGGCATCATTTTCTCTTTATAAGTTTAATTTAATTTATTTTGTGTTATTTTTTAAGGAGTCATTTATTTCAATCATGAAGACACCTGGAATCTACAGGAAACTCATCTCATTTTGTTGTAGTACTGATTGCTATCAACAGTTTGCTATTTTTCACCTAAGTATCCTGTTTATCTGTAAAGAAGCTAAATGACAGCCTGGTTCATTTTTAAATTGTGTATTGGGAACAGAGTTCACACTTAGTACTGACTTAGAATTCAAAAGATGTTTGCTTCCTGGATGTTTGTCTTAGTTTGGCAGTGTTAAAGTTTTGTGATGAAATGTGTACTTGTTTTGTTCAATCTCGATGGAAGTTTATCTAATATTTTCTATATGGTTAAGTATATGAAATTATACATAATATAAAACAGAAAAATGGAAAATCTAAAATCCAGGCATCACTGTCTTCACAGAAGTATGTTTGTTTGGCAGAAATCTGGGTAAAGAATCTCCATCCTTGTAACAAGTCGTCCAGAGATTTCCATAAAATTTCATACTTTGGTCCCCAGTCCCTTGATTTGCAATTTCTTTAACCCCTTGAGACATTTTGTATTAACATGTAATATCTGTCTTGCTGTCTCCTTGGTTTTATTCCTCCTGTGCTACTGAATAAGAAACCAAACTCCTAGTATTGCTAATGCTTTGTCAAGCAGTGGTTACTTGCTTCTTTGCAGATGGCTTTTGCTGAAGAGCCCATATCTAGGAAAACAAAGAGAAAATAACTTTCTAATTCTCTTTGCTTATTTAACCTATGTAATCCTAAGTATATCTAACGTGAGAATAGCTCTGTGAAGACCATCAGAGTCTCTTGAACATTTTATTTCTCTTCATGAAATGATCTTTCAAAAATCCACTTGAATGTCCTGGACTAAAAGAATGAAGGCCTGAGAGAAGTGAGTTAACCACTTACGGTATAACTATAACACAAACAATTCAAATGCCTTTTGATCACAAACATCATTGAGTATCTGGCAATAGGTTTATAATTTGAGTTTAAACAAAAAGTTGCTGCCATATTATGGTGTGCCGAATTTTAACTGGCTTTGATCCCTCTAGGTGTAAATTGTTCTGTATAAAAGCTAGCACTAATCGCCTTTCTCAGCTCCCACTGGTATAACTGACATCAGTAGTCAATTCTAGCTCTTGGCCCTAACGGCCATAAACAGGACAGACCATTTTTTCCCATCTCCCCTTCCACATTACCCAATTTAGTTATTGCTAATTATTAGATGTTGGTATATAACATAAAATAGTTTTGCTCTACCTACTAAAATATGTTAAAAATCAACCTACCATAAATAAGCTATAGAAATACGTGAAATGGGGAGCTTACTCCACATGAGGTGGAATAGTTCCAGAGAATGTTTTGGTAATAGTGGGATGTGAGACAGGACTTTGTAAGTGGTATGTTTTGTCAAGGAGTTTTAGAGTAAACTACATTCTAGACAAAGAGAAAAAAATTCAGTTACAGGATATAAAGAATAAGAATATGTCCAGGAACAGCAAAATGGTAATGTGGCTGAAGGAAAGATGTGTGTGGATGTGTTACTGGGACAGAATTGTAATTGGACTGGAGAGGCAGTTGAACAAATTGCAGTAAATAATGTCCCCAAAAGTTTGAAGGTTAGAGACAAAAGCAAATCAGTATTGCAACTTTAGTTAAAAGTTTATCCATTTGCCTTCTTAGTTTTGATTTTGTCACCTACTTGATTGTTCTTTTCAGTGAAAATAGCAGGTTTTTATCAGTTTACAATTTTTAAACAGTATGGTAGTCAATTATAGGTATTGAACATCTCTATGCTTTAGGCATTAACTAATTTATTATTGTTACCATTTATAAACTAAATAACTAAGGATTAGATGCTTTGCCTAAAACAAACAAACAAACAGCTATTCAAATTCTGGGCCATTATGCTCAGTTTCTTTCTACATGTCATTGTTACCACACACAAAAAAACTTCACTTTCTGAAAAGTCACTGTAAGAATCCAAATATGTTATCTAGGAAGACAGTGCAGCTAAGCCTTTAGTTTGATATGCAATAGAGTCATGTGGAGGTGGGTTTTTTTTTAAGTTATAAACCCATATAATCCAATGTATTTTTTTTAATTGAAGTATAGTTGATTTACAATGTTGTGTTAGTTTCTGGTGTACAGCATAGTGATTCAGTTATACATATATATTTTTTCATTAGAGGTTATATTATAAGCTATTGAATATAGTTCCTTGTGCTATACAGTAGGACCTTGTTTATCTGTTGTATATATAGTAGCTTGTATCTCCTAATCCCAAACTCCTAATTTATCCCTCCACCCCTGTTTCCCACTTGGCAACCATAAATTTGTTTTCAATGTCAATGAGTCTGTTTCTGTTTTGTAAATGAGGTGTTTTTTAAAATGTCAGTTTCAGTCCTCTGTTGAAGATTCTAATTCCCAATTCCTGGTTCAGATTTTGCATATTTAACAAGTGCTCTGATCATGATGGAGTGAATTTACAAATCATTTTGTGAGAAACACTACACTATTTTCCATTAAGACTTTAGTATACATTATATTATCAACTTGCTGTGTAGTCCATAAGACTATGAAACAAAAGATAACATTTTGAAAAGGACTGGAGATCTAAAAAGGAATTTAGAATTCTGGTATACCAGGAAGTGTTGGCTATTATGTTACAATGATGGGAACACTAGATTCTATCATAAGTCTGAAGTCAAAAAAGAGGTGTAGCCTGAGGCAGAAGGCTGATGATAAAAGAGTAATGCAAGTGAAAACAAACTTCTGCTTTAGAGGGTATTGCAAAGTAAATTATTTAAACTCATACGTGTATATTCCACACACACAAAGGCCAGGAAAGCAGACACATTTGGGTAAGGTACACAATTTTGTATATAAATTTTGTTTTGTTCTCACAGAAAATAAATTCAGGAAATAAAAATTTTGCGTAAGAAGAGAGAAATTGCCCAAATTGTTGGTTTGCTCAACTCCCACAGCTAAGCTGTATTTCCTGCCCTCCCTCCTTCAGAGTAGGTGAGGCCATGTGACTGGACTATAGCCAAGAAGATGTGGACAGAAATGATACATGCTACTTCCAAGCCTGGCTCAGGCGACCCTCCCTCACACTACCTCTCATCCTTCTCTGTCTGTTTGGCTAAATGGAGAGGACAGTGAGGATCTTGAGGAAAGTAGAGACAAAAAAAATGGAGGAAGCCTGGGTCCTTGTTACTTGGATGCAAGCAACCTGGGTAAGGACAGCTGTTTTGGACTGCTCTGAGTAAGTTAAAAACCAAAAACACCAAAACATTTTGTACTCTATGAAGGTACTGAAAAGTTGAAGTTATATCAAATAGCTTAAAGCTTCTGGATCCAGTTCTGGTTTCCTCAGGCAAATATTTCAGGAAAATCTCCTTTTACCTTTGGTAATAATAGACGTTTACTTGTCTGGAAAAAGCCACTTCTCAAAGGATTTTCACCTTAAGTAAAAAAAGAGAAGTGTAGGCTGCAAATAGAATTTTAGTCAAAGGGATGGATACTAGTTTCATTATAGTCTCCATTTCCCATACCAAAGTTGAAAAACTTACTACATTAGAGCTTCTCTCACTATTCCATCTCTTTCTCATTCAGTGCTTAAATCCCAAAATGTACCTGATTTGAAGAAATGATTGCTGAACTATTTATAGCTAAAAATAGTCATAAATTATTAGTGTTCTTAGGAAAACTGAACAGTTTGAATCATTTTGTCTCACTGTTAGAAGATACACAATGTTTACAAACCCTCTCAACATGACTGATGAATTCTCCCCTGTA